CAGTTTCGAGACAAGGATGTCTTGTCTCAAAAGGAATCTTAAAGTCATTAAAGATTCCTTTAAATATCTGCTAGTAATACAATACAAAAACCAGCTAGACAACCCAATGTAATGACTTGTCCTTCACACAGACAATTCATTAATGCAACCACGTTAATCTGTATATTCTTTAGCAGCTCCTAGTGTTCAGGGACAGAGAATTTCACTTGTCCTTCTTCTCAGTGACCAGGCCACCACAGCAGTAATGTTGAAAGAGTTGTCAGTTGTGGGTTAAGAACTGGCCTGTCATCATGAAAGGTCCATTTTAGTAAGTTGCCTCCATCTCTTCAGCAAAATCCGATCTGGAGGTTTTGCAGTAAGCACTGCAATACTTAAATGCTTGCAAACTTTTTTGTTCAGTTCTAGAAAATGAATGCTTTTAAATAAAATTGATTAGCTAGTAATTTGAAATGCTTTCTGAAGAGGCAGATGAATGGAAATGGCTTTTAGCATACACTCATGTTACTTTACCACCAGTATACATAATATTAATGATACACATGTGCCCTGCACCTTCAGCTACAGATCCTTCTATATTAACATCCTACTCACCATCCACTGCAATTTTCCAAGTACTCTTTTTGCACTAGTTGGATATTTAAAAACAAATTAACATGACCCAAAAATAACAGGCAAGCAAACAGGCATATCTAGTCATATTCTTGCCTCAGTTTTTCCATCCTTCTTTCATGTGCTTATTATTTGTTAAAATTACACCCTTAAACTTTGTCAGTTTATCACATCTACAGAAGAATGTTAATGTCATGTTAAGTAGCATTCAAGTATGGGATTTTAAAAAAAAATATTGGAAGAACACAGTGTATGAAAAGCAGCATGGAATTCCTGAATTCAGTGTATACTCAGGCTAGTAGAGAAGGACAGCAACAACAAACTCAAAGTCTAGGATCACTTTTCTTACACAATGTATATAACTAGTTCGTACCAGGCTGCGTGGTGAAACAACATCTACAAGAAAATGGAGTGGAATCGTGTAAATACACAGACCTCAAATAAAAGGAAATGAACCGCAACATACATAAATAACCTTGCAAATCTACTGCAACCTCATTACTCATTTCCTACACTTGTAAGCACCTGTTGGCCATGCTGTGTCTAAAGAAAAAAAACCCCAAACATTAGTAAAACACTTGTGTCAGGGGTGATAGTCTCTTTCATCTATAAAGATTAGCACCCTGTCCATTCCCCGGACCTTTAGGTTACAATACATCAGAAGAGGCAAACTCAACTTCGAACCTCATATTTTAAATAGCTTAGCAGACTTAGAAACATGCAATAACTGGGTCATCACTTGGGCAACACACTGAAAAAAAAAAGTAGTTCTATGGGCTCCAGAACTCACAAAATTCTGATTCCTTCCAATGATTAAGATGACTATGGATGAGCCAATTCTAACAGTTTTCTCATAGTTGGAGACCCTCTTTCGCATAAATTCTCCAGTACAAGGTCACATATTACTGACTTGAGCATCGCTCCCTCAGTTGGGACTTCTCTAGATGCTCTATCTGTCCACCTGTTTTCCTGAAATTTCTAAGATATTAAAATATACCTGATTATATCAGCTCAAACCAGATAATCGATTCAAAAAACATACAATGCAAAGAGAAGATCTAGGCAAGAGACATATGCAACTCTTCCATAGGAGACCAGATTAAAAAAAAAGAAAAATAGTATAAGTAATGTGAACATAGAGAAGTACTCAGAGATAACAAGTGAAAACTTCAGGAAGCTCATGCAAAATGTTCACATTTGCAGGTTCTGGAAAGATTTTTCTACTAATAATGTGGAAAAATAGATTCTTAATTCTAAGGATCAAATAACAAAAGAAATTAATGTCTGTCAAGAGTGATTCATTTTTACTGTCAAAGCACTGATACATGTATGCTCCTTTGCAAAGTGTTATTTAATTGACAAGACAGAGAGATGCATTTGTACATTTAAAGCAGGGAAAAAGAATGACAAAAAATATTCAACAGCTTAAGCAGGAATAATGCTATTGCAAGGACTTGAAATCAATGGTGTTACTTGACTAGCTAAGGTAGTTCTTAAAAACCCTTTTAAAAACCCATATCTAAAGTTGTAGAAATATAACAGAACATGCTGGTTAAATTCACAGACAAATTAAGTTAATTCAAAATTAGATTGGGTCTTCTTCTCACTATACTAAAAAGATACTTAAAAATAAATCTATGCTAGGTTTAAAAATAATACTACTGGTGAGATCTTAAAACTAAATCAAAATTCTTTTTCACTCTGCAGCCCACTTGCCTGCAAGAACACTGTTCTCTAGGTAAACTCAATGTAACCGGTTCACACTAGGAAAAAAGTATAAATTATAGAGCATATTTCTACAGGTTAAAAAGAAACAACCACCAAGCCCTAATCGCTTATATCTTACAATGAGTATATGATCAGAGAGAATGGAGGTCATCTATAACACTTGTCGTATCGTCTTCTATCCATTTACACTTTTCATTGTTACTGACTCAGACTTCTGGGCCACCTGACAGACTAGAAATGCCTCTTCTAAATGCAGGACAAAAATAAAATTTACATTGAAACATCACGCAATGTTCTTTGAAACAGAACCCTAAAAAAACAAATGTAAGGAGAAATCTTTAATACAACTAAAACTCTCAGCTAAACTCAGTCTTACAGTCTCTATTTTTGTACTATTATTCATTAAAAAGAAAACCAAAACAACAAAACACCAAAACCACAACTTTTTGATAGACCCTTAACTGGTATCTCTGAATCAAGAGATACCACAAGACATTCTCTTTAACCAAACTCTCTGATCTGCAGACCAAGTTATCGACAACTGTACCTGTATGAGACCTTTTATGGAGCTCCAAATTGCTCGGATGTTTGAATGCCTTCCCACATAATTCACAGGTATATTGCCTCTGCGACTGAAGAGTCTGTGACTGCCCTTCTTGTTCCAAAGCACCCTGAGATCTTTCAATTTCAACAGGTTGTTCAAAATTCTCAGAATTCACTAGATCTTCAGCTTCTTTTTCTTCAGTAACTCTGTTTGTCATGTCCATGGTACTTTCATTTACAGATTCAATTACTCCCGTTATTCTACTGTCATCTCTTTTAGGCTCAGGTGGCTGCTCTGCAGGCTTCTGAGATCTTAGAAAATTTAACTTTTTGAGGTGTATTGCCTTTTTCAACCGCATCTGTTTGGTGGGTTGCATAAGCGTGCTTTCTGCATCTTGGTCTGGCGCAGATTCATTCAAGGACTGAACCAGGAAGTTTGAGGGTAAATGATCAGAGGTTTCCAGAATACACTCAGGGTGACTGACAGGACAGGAATTATTCTCTACTGCACTTATTTCTGTAGGTGCATTGTAAGAAAAGGATTGTTCTGCTCCTCTCTCAGGATTAGAGCAAGCATTTTGCTTATAGAACTGTTTACTGTAAAAGTTGCGTAGTTTATAATAGTAATTTGGTTGTTTAAATGGAAGTTCTGTGCAGCTGCCATCTAAGGAGTCTTGTGGCTGTTTCTGTACATCACCTGAGGGCGCGTGAAGATTAACAGGCTGCGATGCGTGAGAAGGGTGGTCAGCCAAGACTTTATTAGCTTGTGTGTCAGATGAGCATTCATGCAGTAGGTTTGTTCCATAACTGTCATTGGCACAGCTGGTATCTGCAGTCAAAGTACTCTGCAGCGAAAAGACGCTATTACAAGGCATGCTGGCTGTTGGCTCTATAGCTGTAGAAGATTTTAAAAAGGTGTGGCAAATGTTCAGCACATTTTGCACTTGGAGACACTGAGCAATATCTAACATAGCTTGCACATTGTCCTGGCTAAGATCCAGGTGAGAAGTGTACATGAAGTCCAAGATCTGGCCTATCCCACCTACATTTTTAATGTCCAAGTGAAAGACGTCGTTCTTCTGGCCTGTAGAATTCTGGAAAAGGGTCCTGATAAAATAAGGCAAATATTCAAACACGAGCACAAATAATTCACGAATACTTTCATAAAAAAAATACAAATACATATCAAACAGACTGTCTGGTATGAAACAACAATTTATACGTTGTTATCTACATTGCTGTGGTTTTGCTGATTAATGTCTCAACATGGCTCGATTACTGTCAAATATATCAGTTGTACACTAGTACACTTAAAAGCATAAATCAAAGCAAAAGATCCTTTATGTAACTTTAATTTTCTATTTCTTAATGTCTTGAAAACGCACCATACACTTGTGGTTTCCTATCCATGTTCTTTACATATTAGGTGCAGCAGTGTATTTATGGACTATTTACAAAAGTTGGCTGGCTCAGAATGGTGTTTCTCCTTCCATCATGGAAAATAAAACAGGACATGAGAAATCTTCTAGTAAAACAGAGAAGACAAAATCAGCTAAACTATTCTCTTCTGGCAACTGAGCTTGTCCATCAAACTTAAAGTTATTATTATTAGTTATCTCTCTGCAAGCAGATGAGAGGATGGTAACAGCAAACAAGAGGGTAGCTTTATTTTAAATCTATTTCCCAATATCCAAAAAAAAAAAGTGTTTTGTTTCGGTTTTTTACTGGTACTGGATGAGAATCAAGTAAAATTATAATGAAGAGTACAGGTACATAAGCCTAAAATAGCAGTACAACCAATACCCACTGAATTGTCATTGAATCCTTAAAGTGTCTGAATCCACAAGACTTCTTACTATTCCATATTCTTAGCATCAGAGCTGTTCTTCACATGCATAACCAGTCCTAGATTAAGTGGGTTCGTACTCTGCTTCAGTCAGAATCTTCATACCCTTCCACTAAAATCCCCAGTCTCTAACCTGATACTCTCAGAGTAAGTGATGATATATAAATGGGGTCAGATTACTCCTATGTAGCCATTTTCCTACTCTAGGAAATATCCTGAACTTGATGATTTAAGATTCATAATGAACTGATCTGGATTGAGAGTCTCAATTAGAGATTTATACACTAATGAATTTTAATGAGTTGAGCACTTAGTTCTTTTCAACTACTTCAAAAATTCAAAAGCATAAAGCATAATTTCACTTCATCATCAGGTTTACAACACTAGAAGAGAAAAAGGAAAAACAACCTCTCACTTTTTTCCCTGATCCTAACATAAAGACAATGTTCTTACATAAGAATTGGTAGTCAAGCTTTAGAGATGTTTCAAGAAACAAGGTCTAAAAACTGTCAGATTTAATAGCTTACTCATAACTAACACAGACCACTAAGTTGGGATATACAGCACAGAATCATAGAATGACAGAATATTTGTGCTGGAAGGGACAGACCTTAAAGGTCATCTAGTTCCCCCCCCCCCTGCCATGTGCAGGGAACCCTTCCACTAGACCATGTTGCTCAAAGCCTCATCCAGCCTGGCCTTGAACACTTCCAGGGATGGGGCATCCACAGCTTCTCTGGGCAACCTGTCCCAGTGCTTCACCACCCTCAGTGAAGAATTTCTTCCTTATATCTAATCTAAATCTACCTGCTTTCAGTTTAAAGCCATTATCCCTTGTAAAAAGTCCCCTCCCAGCTTCCTTGTAGCCCCTTCAGGTACTGGAAGGGGCTATAAGGTCTCCCCGGAGCCTTCTCTTCTCCAGGCTGAACAAGCCCAACTCTCTCAGCCTGTCCCCATAGCAGAGGTGCTCCAGCCCTCTAAAATTTGGAGGATCAATGAGGGCTATACAGAGGGGAAAGAAACCAGTGATCATCCCTCATAAGACACCTGTATATGTTAAAATACAGTTGTTGTTTCTGAGATCTGTTCTAAATAGATTCAATAATAATCTATATAGTCAAATTTTATTTTGCATATATAATTGATGAAACAATTCACATTATCTGGAAATAGATAATATGAATCGCTTAATCAATTACATCCCTTATTTGGCTCTGTTCATGTACTACACTGTGCTCCTTGTAAACAGTTATCTTTCCATACTGAATGCAGGTCCATGACAGAATCTGTTATATGAGGCATTGTAAGCAAGTAAGGGACAAGAAAATGCCAAAGTCAAACAGCGTAGTAGTTAGCCATGTATATCCAGAAAACAAATGAGGATGACCACAGTTTTCAGTTAGACTGAATACTTGATAAAGGTTTATCCCTACACAAACAATTTAACTTTTCTCCTTACATTCCAACAGTTACTTAGTCTACAACTGGCAGAAAAAAAATACCCTTCCCAGAGAAAACCTCAACCAACAATATTTAGTTCACTTCTTTAATGAAGAATTTTCTATCACATACCTGAAATATTGACTGAAAGCAGCTAACACGTTTTTGTGTGCTTTGAAGCAGACACCTTTTACCACCAGCATGCAGTCACAGAGAAGACCCTGAATGCGCTGTTCATGTAGCTGCTGGAGAAGATGACAACTATGGCTAGCAACAGTGTCCATGCTAGAAAGTCACTTAAATTACCTATAATGAAATAAAATGCTAAGATGAATTTTAAATCTTAACTTACAAATTAGATTTAGAATATGAAGAACATTTTTACAATTTGCTTTAGGTCCCAAAGGGAAGAATTATTAAGGTGGGCTACTGTACTTTACTTATTCCTATAATGTCTTTTACCAAAGAAAACACGTTTGCCAGATAATAGGTTTCTTGGCGTACATCTCCCACCACAGATTCCTGCAAGTACTTTAACCACCTGTGAGTTCAGGCTCTCAGCAATCAGGTGCCTGTCTCCCAACAGAAAAGACAGACACCCTGAGCTGCACCTGAACAAGAGGAACCCCACAACACTACTGACGTTTAAACTGCCTTTCCCCCTCAGCCCTGCCTAGCTAAAGCTGAGTCTCGGGGTGTAGCCGGCAGCGGGGGGATAGAGGTGTTTGCCTCGGAATCGCGGGGAGGGCAAACTCTGCCTCGAGGGCAAGCAACGAGGCGACAGCAGGAAAGGGGCAGAGACGCCGGAGGGGGGGCGGGAGACGGCAGCG